GATCAAGAAGTTGAGAAACAAAGAGATCCCGTTAGTGAAAGTTGACTGGCAAAACCATGGTGGCGTGTATGCCATTTGGGAGAGGGAAGATGACATGGCTAAAAGATATCCTGAACTGTTTCCACTGAATCCTGTTTTCTTCCAAAACGAAGGTAACTCGAGTTTAGAGGACTAAACTCTTTTTAAGGAGGGGAGACTGTAACAACCCTCGTCACTGTTTACTGATTAACCACTGATTACTGCTAAACTGAGACTGATTATGATTGGTAACTGAATTGATTGAAGTACTGAACTGACTGACTGAAATCTGGAACTGAATTGATTAAGTATATCTGTTTAATTGTATGTCTATCTGTTGACTGTTTGATTATTTGTTCATGCCTTTGTGTTTAAATTGTGAATTAAAGGCCTTATCAGCGGCCGAATCTGAAATTTGACTGATGATTTGTGTTCATCAGAATTTATATGATTTTATGGTGTATTTATCTAAAATGTGATTTGGTATGATTAAATTGGATTAAAATGAGTTAAATTGCAATAGTTGGCTTAATTACCAACATGCCACTTAGTGGACCACTTAGGCAACATATTTGAGCTTTATTATACATTCAACACAACATTTCATGAGCCTCTTTCCTTGTTATTGCCGACCAAGAGAGGAGAGTGAGAGGTTTGGAATGAATTCAACTTGATTTTGTGCATTGGCTTGAAGAATTAGAATATAGGTTGCAAATTAAGCTTCTTCACCTTGTATTGGAGACCTAGGTAAGGGAATTCAACCTCTCATTGTTGTGTTTAAGCTTGTTTTTGCATGGTTTTGAGCAAAGTTGAAGTCTAGAGCCAATTTATGGCTCAAATTGTTGAATTGGAGCTTAAGTGTTGCATGCATGTATATATAATTAAGTTTTGAGGTTGCAGTCCATAATTCCTCACATGCATGTCCATGTTTTGAGTGTAGACCATGATTTCATCTTGTTTTTGAAGATATTGACTCGTTAGAGCATGAAATTGAAGCTTTGAAATGGTTTAAATTCATGCATGTTATGCTTGAATTATGTTCATGAAAATTGGTTTCAAATTGAGTTGAATTGATCTTCCTTTTGGGCCTTGATTTTACAAATTGAGTTTTGAATCATGTTATTCTATGTATTTACAAACGTTTTCCAGGAAATGGGCCCAAAGGAATTGGTTTTAATGCATTTGAACTTGGTTTGAGCTTGGAAGTTCAAATCTGGAAATTCCAGATTTTGAACTCTCGCTCGAGCGGGGGGGAAGTGGCGCTCGAGCGGGAAATTCGTGCTCCCAGTACGTTGCACTGTTTTGATGTCCGCTTGAGCGGAATAATTGACGCTCGAGCGGGACCTTGTGTCTCACGCTCTAGCGGCAATCGAGCGCCTATCGAGCGTGATTTTCACACATCCAGTACTTTTGCCCTGTTTTGCAGAACGCTCAAGCGTGAAAGTCTATGCTCGAGCGGATACCTTTGTCTGCATGTCCGCTCGAGTGGGTAAACCTATGCTCCAGTGGGACCTCTGTTTTCTGAAAATTCTGAAAATATTTTCTGAATGCGTCTTTGCATCCTCATCCCATCCTAGGCATTCTTAGGCCTAGTTTAAGACATCTTAATGAGGATATAGATGTAGAACACACCGAGGCAAATTAGGGATTAAGTTATTATCTTTCCCAACTGTGTAGCTTAGTGTGTGTTCAATCTGTAACTGTGTAGGGTTGGCGACTGGGGACGCGCTCTAGCTTTACTGTAGCCCAGAACTCTGTGAGTAACAACTGTGTAAAGATATGTTCAAAATGATTATCTTCTGAACAATTGAACTGTACTACTTTCTGAACTGATACTGTTAATTGAATGAATGAATGTCCTATATTCTGAACTGTATTGTGGCATCCTTAGCAACTACTGTTTACTGTTACTGTTACAGAGATCTCTGTCGGTTCCCTTGTTGGAACCACTACTGTTTACTGATTGATGGCCATCATTTACTGTTCGGTCTTTTAAGACCTACTGTTTACTGTACTGTTATGCTAATGGATGTACCACATATGACTGAATGACTGATATACTGAATTAACGAACTGTTTTCATTACTGTAAGGACATTCATTCTTAATCTCTTTACGCATTACGTTATTCACTGAGCTTTAGCTCACTGCTCATATATATATATATATATATATATGTAGGTGTACAGGCACCAGACCGTGGCTAGAAGTGTTGGGGTAACTCCAGTTTTGTCAAGCCAACCACTGTGCCTCACTACGAGGTTCCGAGCCTGTCAAGTTATGGCTTAGGGGTGTTTTAATTTCTCCGTCTATCTCTGTATCTGTTTTGTATAACTGTATAGACTGTTACTGTACTGTTTAATAGGGATTAGGTCTCTGAATTGAATGATTGTATATATGTGCATACTGTTCTGTACTGTTCATGTATATGTGTATGAAAAATCTTTTTGCATACAGACTCACAGCTCATTGGACATTGTTTACTTACTGTATTGGCTTCCGCCAGCCCCTGTACTCTGTATTACTGTTCTACTGTTAAGCAGGCCTTCGGTAATCTCGGATTACTGGCCGGTTACAGTACTAAACCCATAGGGGCAGGTTTGGGTCGTGACAGAAGATATTATTTAATAGAATTGTTTAAAATTTTAAGATATTATTTAATAGTTAAACTTTCCTGTATGTTTTATATGATCATTAAACATATTATTTAATAGAATTGTTAAATTTTTTTTGGCTCATAATCTTAATACAAAACACAAATCAAAGAGATTAAACAATCTTAAAAAAACGTAATCCAATCTAATCCAGTACCCAATCTAACCCAATACACACCTACTATTGTTCATGACTCTGCAAATGTGAATGAAGGGTTCAATAAAATACATACAGAAACAGAAACAGAAACCCACTTCAATGAAATCAAAATCCATCATATTTTTAACCCATTTCAATATTTACAGAATTAGAAACCCATTTCATAGGTTAGAAGAGTGAGAGCAGAGAAGAATATGAGTGCCACCTATGAAGAGTTGCTGGAGATTGCAGAACCAAAACCGAGAGAAAAATTTGAGCTAAAACCATAGAGGAAAATGGAGAGTTGGTGGAGTATGTAAGAAGAGAAAGAGATGAATCTATCTCTTAACATGGGAAAGAGAGACAGAGTAAATGAAGAGACACATTTTGAAAGGAAAAAGCTATAACAAACAAATCATCTTGACCCATAGATGTTTGATAAATATAATCTCAACCCTCCGAATGTGAGACAAAATTTTTTGCTTCAGATTTTTTTTTTTTTTTTTTGGCTTCAGAAAAAAACAACTGAAGGGATGATGAAAAACAAACTGAGACATGATGCATAGATCGTGATCTAATTAAATGTAAAGCAAGTGATACAATTATTACTTGCTTTACAAACTAAGACAAAATAGATTCATCTCTTTCTCTTGATACATTTACAAACTGATACATTTATTTATCATCCCATCATCAGTTTGTAAAGCAAGTGATACATTTGTGAAAAAAAAAACAGAGGTAAAAAACAGAGCTTTGTTCTTCGATGATGAAAAAAAAAAAAAAATAGAGCTTCGATGGCGGGATGATGAGAAAAAAAAAACAGAGGTAAAAAAAATGGAAGTGAGAAGAGAAGAGTGCCATACCTGGTGATGGTGGAGAAGAGAGCTTTCGATTGAGCTTTGTTCTTCCTTCTTCAGAGCTTTCTTCCTTCTTCAAAGCTTTCTTAGAGCTTTGTTCATTGATACATATGATGTAAAGAGTGCCTTACTTGGTAAGTGCAGTGGGTTGGTCAGAGTAGATAGGTAAATAAATCTGAACCATTGAATTTTAGTCATTGATAAATCTAGACCATTGAAACTCTTTTCAATTTCAGCCATTATTTTTAAATTGGACAAATCTAAGCCATTAAAGATAGTTTATGAGAGAGATATTTTTAAAAATAAATCTAAGCCATTGCTTTTTAAATTAGATAGATCTGAACCATTAATTTCAAAGACATTTTCAAACTCACCCTTCCATTGTTATATAGATATATATAAATTAATAATATATGCATGATTGTGTTATGTTTTGTTTTGTTTTGTTTTTGTTTTTTTTGTGTATGTAAATCTGGTTCACTGTCCATTAGGACTCAAATAGTCACCCTCTACCTCTTTTCATATCTACCATTAATTCAAGTAAACTTATGCAGTGTTTTGTAATGTAAATTATTAATTAATTCTCATAAATACTTAAGGAGGCAACTAATCGATTGGATGGCATTGTCACGTCCCACTTCAATGATCCGAACCGTTTATTTAAAATTTTCTCCAACCAATTTTGTTTTTTTGTTTTTTGAATGAATAATAAAGGAGTATGATCTAATTAGAGAGGAAGAGTGGTATTTCTTCGAGCAAGGATCCCCTCCTCGCATCATTTCCTACTTGCAAGGCCATTGGGCCTACTTTTAGGCCCAATTTTGATAATCTAAACCGTTCATATTTTAAGATTTGTTCAGTATATCATACTTGTAAGAAATTAAGTTGATCGGATATCAGAAAGCATGTGTTCGGAAAAATAAAATTAAAAACTATTTTTTACAAAAATTTAATAAACAGTTTTCCGAACACATGCTTTCTGATATCCGATCAACTTAATTTTTTACAAATATGATATATTGAACAAATCTTAAAATATGAACGGTTCGGATTATCAAAATTGGGCCTAAAAGTGGACCCAATGGCCTTGTCAGTAGGAAATGCAAGGAAGAAGTGCAAGGAGGGGATCTTGACTCGTATTTCTTTACTCCAAGAACTAAAAAATATGTAGGGAGGTAACCAACCGGACAGGTCGGCTGGTAATGGATTCTGGAAGGCGACCGCAATTGATACCCCCATCTATAGCAATGAAAAAATAGTGGGTTATAAGAAGGCACTAGTTTTTTGTGAAGGGTCAAGAAATGCAAGGAGAGAAGGTAAAACTCATTCGTTAATGCATGAATATAAACTTCACAAAGAGATTGACATGAAGGTAACTCACCAATTCTCTTTATAAATTTATTACACATCATCATGTTAAATAATAGTATCAAAATACAAATTGATATTGATAATGAAGGATATATTCCGATATTTAAAAAAAAAAAAAAAAACCCGAATTGTAATATGAATCATATATTGGACAATATCAGGTAATATGTTGAATACAGCTTAGGTGGTGAATTGTGGTTTGGTGAACTCCTTTCTTTTTGCTTCATTGCATGCATGTTGATGTATCCTAGTAATTTATCAGATTCATTTTTTTTAAGAAACTTATTGACAAAATATAAGTAGATTTGTACTTGTTTTTTAAACTCAAGTTATTTCACGAAGTTAGTGTTTCAAAGTTTGATTTCAATTATTTTTTACAATAAATTAATTAAAATTGTATTTTCGACAGAAAATATTATTTTTACAGAATCTTTGTACATTGTTTTTTTGTTAGAATAATATGGTGGTGGAAGGGCTCACTGATTGAGTGATTAAAACATGAATTATTGTTTGGTTTTTAGTTTTTAATCTATATTTTTTATTTTTAGTAATTTTTTAATATTTTGGTTAATTTTATTTATATATTTTTTAGATGCATCTAATTTAGATGTACTTAAAAAATAAAATATTTGTGAAGAAATTTTTTAAAAAATCAAGAAATACAAAAAAATGTAATGAAATTTTATGTATTTTTTAGCATATAATGAATTTTTTAAAGTTTTTTTTTTTTAAAAATTTATATTGTTTAACTGTATTTAGATTAAGTGCATCTAAAAAATAAAAATATTAATTAAATTATTTAAAATTTTTAATTAAAAATAAAATAATACAAATTAAAAACTAAAAAATTATTTTCGAAAACTCCAAAACCAAACAGGGATACACTCTGTTCAATTAACACCGAAGGTTAGAAGTATTCGACACATACCTGACATCCACACACCACCACCCTAGTAATCCTTGGGTACTTTGTTTTGCTCCATTGCATGCATGCTTATAAAAATATTCTCAAATTTTCAACATTAACTGTTGTTTATAGCATTCCTACAGTTGGGTGATTGGGTTCTTTGTAAAATTTACTACAATGATAGACACAGACAACATCCAGATAGTGATCATCATCAAGAACAACAAGGTGGTGAAGTAATTCGCAACGAACAACAACATCAAGATGGTGATTATTATCATCTATCAACAGCAAAGTGGTGAAGTAATTCGTAATGAAGGGTTGGCAAATGCTGAACAAGATCATCAACAGCGGCCGCCTTTTCCATTTTCTGAAATAATGTATGACGACAACAATCAAAATCATCAACATCAAGGTGGTGAAGTGATTCGTAGGGAAGGGTTGGCAAATGCTGAACAAGATCATCAACAATGGCCACCTCTTCGATCTTGTGGAATAATGTACAACAACATTTATGTTCACCATGGCATGCCAAGTTCTTCTGACTGTGCATTTGGTTTTGATGGTGCTCATTGAGAGGGTAATTTTTGGTGAAAATTGGGCCGAGCTATGAGTTGGACTTTATGGCCCAAAGTACAAAGGATTGGGTAAAAAGGGCCGAAAAATTACTCCGGCCCAAGAGAGATGAAGTTATTCTAGCCCAGAATAGATGCTGAGTTACTTCGGTCCGGACAACTTGAAGTAAGACCGGTCTCAGAGTTAGTCCGGTTATGACGTATTCAGGATAGATCGGTCAGAACCTTGCTACACGGTAGCTCGGTCCAAACATACCATGGGTTGAACAGGAGAAAACCGAGATAAGGAGTAGTAAAAGGAAGGGCCGAACTAAGGATAGTTCGGCCTACTTTGTGGCTCAGCATAGCCAGTTTTACTTCGGTCAAATGGTAGTTCGGCCATGGTAGAAGCCATCCCACTTGGTTTAAGCTGTGGGGGAGGGTGTAAAAGGATAAGCATTATCCTGTAGGAGTATGAATCCTAGGAGGACTCTGCATGGAGAAATAAAAGTCCTACTAGGATTGTGCCATTCGAAACCTATAAAAGCTCACAAACATCACCTTGGAGGAGGTAACACAAAAAACACAACACACAATTTTGCTTTCTGAATACATTGAGCTTTGTCTATCTGTCAAGTTTGCTGACTTAGGCATCGGAGAGGTTTCCGGCACACACCCGTCGGCTAGCTCACGTTTGTGTTTTCAGGTGACAAAGCGACGTCGTACGGAGGAGCGTGGACTTAGTCAACAGGATTATACGAGGAGAATTATTTATTTCCCGTACAATTGGCGCCGTCTGTGGGAAATAACAGACATAACAAAACCTCTTGATTAAGGCTTCTCCCCTTGACGATCAATGGCACACATTGAAGAATTGCCGCAGTCCGCCGTCGACGGGCTAACTCCAGATGGGGGCGCAAGGCGTGAAGGATTACCTTCTGTCCCTCCCATGGCAGACTTGGAGCCCCAACGACATAACACCAGGAGGGATACTAGGGGGAGGCGGAATAACAGCCCCCGTCACTCTCGTTCGCAAAGTCCTGACAGACAAAGACGGAGGATTGATCCTCAAGCTTTGGAAGATCGTGTAAAAGAACAAGATGAATTAATAAAAAAGATGGCGGCGGACATGGAGACCCTGAAACGCCAGATGAAGAAAAAAGAAGTGGCGACAGGAGAGGGGCGCAAAAACAAGACGCCCCCTCGCTACTCCGAAAATCGTAGTAGGAATACTACACCCTCACAAGGAGAGAGTAGAAGCCTCAGGACAGGCGATACTCAATCATGGTCTTCCAGAACTCGTCACTCCAGGTCTGAGAGGACGAAGTCTGAAAGATCATACACTGAAGGAAGCACATACTGGCCCTCTCATTCGCATCAAACTAGATCTAGATAGACGGAATTACCCAGATCATCCGACTTACGAACCGTGCTCGAAGAGAAAGCACGATGCAAGGAGGATGCCAGGGCACGGGATCCGCACAAAGTTTCAGCCTTACAGCGGTTGGCTCCTCGGACGCATGGAAGCGTCGAGGTTGGAATGCCAATACCGCGCCCAGCCTACGAACCAACGGACAAGGCACTAGCAAGGCTACAGACTTCGCCGTTTGTTCCAGCGATTGAAAACGCGCCCCTACCATCAGGCTTCCTTCAGCCGAAATTCACTACATATGAAGGGAAGACGGATCCCTACTCACACTTGAGCCACTTTCGCCAGGTCATGGTTGTGTACAGGCGAAACGAGGCCTTAATGTGTATACTCTTCCCATCAAGTCTTGGCGACCTAGGCTTGACGTGGTTCGAGAAACTACCAGAAGGCAACATAGCCTCTTGGGCACAATTGGCAGAAGCCTTCGTGACAAGGTTCCGAACAAACACTAAAACCCCGGTGGAGATCGACCAGCTACTCTCCATCGACATGGGCGATAAAGAGACCCTCAGATCTTACAATAGTCGCTACTGGGAGACATTCAATCAGATTGGGGACTGCCCCACCAATCTCGGCATTGCACAATATAAAAGAGGCCTTCCAGTCGGGAGCAGACTAAGGGACTCAATCACCATGACGCCACCCCTCACCATGGAAGCCCTGATGGAAAGAGTGTATCAGCACATCAAGGTAGAAGAGGATGGCGCACGTGCCAAAGCAAAATCTGGTGCGACCGCAGTACCAGAAAAGAAAACCTCAGCCAAGGTGAACATGGTAGATCGAAGTAACAGAAACGGACGTGGCAGACGAGATAACGGAGAAGACCCGAATAAAAGATGGTTAAAAGATGGTTGAGGGTCCGCACGGCCATAACCACGGTCTTCAAGAAACCGATCTACCGAATTCTAAGTGAAATACGGGATGAGCCTTTCGTCAGATGGCTAGCTAAGCTAGGAGAAGCTCAGAAGGACTATGACGAAAGATCGCGGTGCACCTTCCACAAAGAAAAGGGGCACCGAACTGAGAATTGCACACCACTGAGACAGCACCTGGAGGAATTGGTGGCGGCAGGTCACTTGGACAAATACATTGAAGGAGGGACGCAGCCAGCCCTCCAGGATCACAATAACCCCAACGGAATGCCAATCAACGCACCACCTCAAGGCATTATCAATGTGATACATGGAGTCTTTGAACCTGAGCGTGTATGCGAGCTCAGGGGATCAATCAAAAAGGCTGAGCACTTTAGAGAGGTGCTAAGTGCCCAACCTGCCATCAAGAAGGGGAAAACAGAGGCAACAAACGTCATGTCTTTTTCGGATAAAGACTTGGATCGAATATACTGTCCTCACAATGATGCCCTGGTTGTCACTCTCCGAGTCAAGGATTTTGACGTCAAGCGGATTCTGATTGACCAGGGTAGTTCATGTGAAATCATGTACTACGAAACATTTAAACAATTGAAGCTGCAAGACAAGGACTTGGCGCCTGCAGTATCTCCCCTAATTGGATTCAACTCCATGCCAGAATGGCTCGTCGGAAAAATAATTCTTCCAGTCAGAGCAGGAAGCGTAACAAAACAAGTGGAGTTCTGGGTATTGAAGGTCCCCTCCACTTACAACATCATCCTGGGCAGAACATGGCTGCATGCCATGCGATCGGTGGCGTCATCCTACCACCAAGTAATGCTGTCACGCCTCAAACTCGCCCCTAAAAGTTTGGGCATGACCACCTTAGAAACGGACATAAAACCTGATGAATATAACCTATGGGGCCTGAACGGAAGCATATATTAACATATAATAGCGTAACATAATACCCATTGAGCTACCACTACCATACCAGGATCACAAATTACGTAATGCAGATAAATATATAGAGACGTGCATCTGAAGACAGCTATATACATATACATATACATCGATCTTAACAGACATTTAGGGTACAAATTAAAAACTTAGCAAAACTCCATAACTTGAACGATCAACATCTAGGACCTTAGACACTCAGGGATTGACAATTGGGTAACAAAAGCCACAAGTTAAGGTTAACCTCCAGGTTGAGTGCCTACAGAAACAAACATAGAATAGAGTGAGTCAAGCTCAGTGAATAATAACACATAACAATTCAATGCTCAACGTGAATTATAATACATATCCGTGCATTTATCAATAAAGAGAACATATGGTTTATTTATTTCTGTATGCATAGCAAAGTATCTTTTTCAGAAAACTTGTCATATCTTAAATATTCGGGGTTTCATAGTGCATCTAGGCATTTTGGGAAAATTATCCAGAAAGCATATCATATCATAAACATATCAGAAGTTCATAGCATTTTTCTCATTTCAGAAATTACTTATCATATGAAACATTTCGTAACTCAAAATACGAATTTCATTAAACATTGTATAGCATAGTCATGTTCAGAATCATTTATACTTAAAGTATCTTTTACAGAACGGCCTTGGCCCCAATCTTAAACACAGTGGCTTTAAGCCCTTAATAGAACGACATGAAATCCTTAACAAAATGGCATGAAGCCCTTAACAAAATGGCATGAAGCCCTTATCAGAATAGCATGAAGCCCTTGAAACACAATGGCATTAAAGCCCTTAAAACATATGGCATAAAAAGCCCTTGAACATAGATTGGCATTAAGCCCTTGAACATATAGATATATGAACCCAAGAGGTGTCTCACACGGATTCTAGAGGTGACTCACGTCGTAGCACTTAGTTCCGTGTAGCACTTTGTTTCATACCAGAACGGCATAAGCCCTTATCAGATTGACATAAAGCCCGTGTAATGGCATAAAGCCCATGTAATGGCATAAAGCCCGTGTAATGGCATAAAGCCCATGTAATGGCATAAAGCCCTTGTCTTACATGTATGAACTCAAGAGGTGGCTCGTACGGATTCTAGCGGTAACTCGCATTGCAGCACTTAATTCCGTACAGCACTTTTGTCACGCCCCCAAACCGCCCCTAGTAGTTTGGTGCCGTGATGGCCAGTAACCCGAGGTTACCGAAGGTCGTCTTACAAAAATCACACACAATCAGAGTATAAAATATGGGGCTTACAAGTGCGGAAGCAATATATATACATATACAAAATCTAAATAGTCCATGAGAGCCGTGCATAAGTCCAATGGAATGTCATACATCAAACATCTTTACAAGTCTTACAATTTAGATACAACAAGAATGAGATACAAAACACATCCTGACCAAAAGGCTTCTCAAGCCGACATATGCCAAAACAAGCAAAGAAAACATAAGCCGAGAAGCATAATCTTCAAGACAATGCAAAACGCTAATCCAAAACATGTCGTCTATGCGCCCCAAACACGTCGGCATCACGCCTAGGCCTCAATGCCTTCTTGTTCGCCACCTACATATATATAGAGAGGGTGAGCTTGGATACTCAGTGAATGATATTAGAAATAAAGGTTTTGCATGATGATATCCAAGATTTCTTTCAAAACAATACATAGCATACTTTACAATCAAGAGGGAAATCAAGTTCATTGCCGGCCTTTCAAGTTCTTTGGATGTTATTACATCTACTTAATACAAGAGGGTGATGACATTC